TTTTTTCTCTTTTTAAAAAAAGTGTTTTTGGGGGGGGGGGGGGGGGGAGGCAAGGTGGGCCAGGGACTATGAATGCTACTCATTTGTCAAGTTGGTTGCTATTACACACTATCCTACGTTCAGGAGAGCAGATTTATAATTTTATTAATTACAGTTATTACTGGAGCCATGTACCCGCCAGTGTAAATACGATAAATTACTAAACACACGCAGCTGGAGATTTCAACATTCCTCTCTGGCATTAGAGTTAATAAACCTGATCTGGTGAAATATAAGACGTGAGTAAAATACAACAAGAGAGATTTGCAAGCTGTTTTCACTAGAAAGTCTGACATCCACAGGGCATGGATGGGCGGGTAGGGAGCGGTCAGCGGGATCAGATATCAAGGAGCTCAAATAGCATACCAGTTTCAAGGAATGTTTAGAGGGCTGTTTTTACACAGCAGAAGAAAAGCGAAGAAGGTATTTGCATGAGGCTATGTTGTGTAAGCACCTGGAACTCAATTTGGGGTGGGAGATATTACTTCCATTGTTCTGTCATTAAGCGGATTATCACTGAACAATGTTGTCATGCAACTCACAACAGGAAAGAAAAGTAGAAGACGATTGAATACATTTTGGATGTGGCATGCAACAGAGGAAGAAAAAGCTAAATCCTGTTTTTTTAACCTAACAAAATAAGTGCCAGGGACGTAGGGAGAGTGGGTGTGTCTAGACTACAGGGTTTTGTCGACAAAAGTGGACTTCTGTCAACAAAACTATACCTGAGTCTACACTACAGCCGTGTTCTGTCGACATAACGTCAACAGAACTCGGCAGTTTTGTCGACAGCGGTAAACCTCATTCTACGAGGCATAACGCTTTTGTCGATGGAGTTCTGTCGACAGAAGGCGTTATGGCATCTACACTGTCCTTTGCGTCTACACTCTCATGTCGACAAAGCGGCTTGCTTTGTCAACAGAACTGGATGCAGTCTAAGCGCTCTTTGTCGACAGAAGCTTTGTCAACAGTATCTGTCGACAAAACTTCTGTCGACAAAAGGCTGTAGTCTAGACGTACCCAGTGTGCTTAAAAAAACTGACAAAGGTGGTTTATGCTAGATACCCTAAGATTTTGTTAACAGCAGCAGCAAAGCCCCATTGTGCTACAAGCCCTGTCAGGGTATGTGTACACAGCAGTGTTATTTCAGAATAACTGACGTTATTTTGAAATAACAAAGAGCGTGTCTACACAGCAAGCTGTTATTTCAAAATAATGTTGAGCTGGAGGACTTCTTACTCCAACTCCTGTAACACTCATTTTACAAGGAGTAAGGAAAGTTGAAGGAAGAGTGTTCTTCCTGCAACTTCCTGCTGTGTAGACAGAGCCTAAAGCCGAATTAAGCTATTTCAACTTCAGCTATGCAATTGACATAACTGAAGTTACGTAGCTTAAGTCGACTTTTGCCCTGATGTGTAGACGTGCCCTCAGTGAAGAAATGTGAAAGCTTCTTTCATGGCCAGAAGGTTTTGTCCTGTAAAAAGAGCCAGACACATATAAATTAGTGTTTGTTGACCGAATCAAATAATGGGAGCCCAAATTGTCTAACAGACACAATTTGGGGAAATAGGAAAAAATCCATATAGGGACAACACTAAACTTGGCAAGTTTTTCCGCAAAATCAGCCGCTTTTCCAGAAAACCTTGCCAGCTGTCTACACTGGCCGCTTGAATTTCCGCAAAAGCACTGACTTCCTACTGTAAGAAATCAGTGCTTTTTGCGGAAATACTATGCTGCTCCCGTTCGGCCAGTGTAGACAGCTGAGATTTGTTTTGCGCAAAAAAGCCCCGATCGCGAAAATGGCGATCGGGGCTTTTTTGCACAAAAGCGCGTCTAGATTGGCCACGGGCGCTTTTCCGCAAAAAGTGCTTTTGTGGAAAAGTGTCCGTGCCAATCTAGACACTCTTTTCCGAAAATGCTTTTAACGGAAAACTTTTCCGTTAAAAGCATTTCCGGAAAATCATGCCAGTCTAGATGTAGCCAAACAGTGCAAGTGCTGTATTACAGTAAGAACTGCAAACAGACATGCATTATATGGTCCAGTTTATTCCACAAAACCTTTCTTGACATTTTTATTTTATATTAGAAAACTCTATTCTTTTGTGCGTGTTTGTGTGTGTGTATGTCAAGGAGCTGAGCCAGTTGATGCAGTTAAGGGTTGTTAATCTAAAAAAAAGTACAGAGCTGACTGTGGTTCTCAGGCCCCTTTATCTCTCTCCTTCATGGTAAACAAACGGTGTTTCTGTTTATTGGTAGGAGCACAAGGGAACTGTGGTGATAAATGTTTGTGGTTCTGAATGGGAAGGAGAACATCCTTCAAGAGTGGAGGGACTAAAGTCAGGAGTGGGGCTTCTTGGCAGATGGGGGAGAGAGAAACCTAGGTGAAATAAACAGGACTGATTCTGGTACAGTGTGTTTAGGTCTTTGACCCAAGATTCTTTACTTATTCTCACACCATGGGAGGTGCAGAGGGTGGCATGAGCGGCATCTGGGGTAAGCTGGATGGAAAAGGAGTGAATGTGTGCTGGTGGGTGTGTTGGTGCTGGTGAAACTCCGCCCTCAGCAGTGCCACTGGGCCAAGAGAGGTACTGGCCTGGCCCAAACTCTGAACCAAAAACCAGTTGTTCAGCTCTTGCCTGAGCAGTTCATGAGAGAGAGAGAGAGAGAGAGAGGGAGAGAGAGAGACAAAAGCCCATTGGCCTGTGAGTTCCACAAAGACATAGAAGGAAGAGAGTCAGATATTCACCTGGCATTCCCTGTTTCTGCAGGTCATGCTGTGGTGGTTTTCTACGTGAGGACTCATTGGTGGAGGTAAGAGAGATGCCTGTGACAAAGTACCAATCAGAATCCCTGAATGAGGCTGGCAATACATGATTGGTTGGTTGAATGATATCAACAGACTGGTATCTAAAGACAAGAGAGAACACCATGAGTCATCACAGCAGAAAACACAGTGGGGCTTCATAAAGCATAAACAATTTTTCCCCACCCTCCTCCCCTAACCCAGCCACAAATAGCCACAAATACTGAGGTTAGGACACTTTAAAAGGAACACTATAAAGTTAAAAAACAAAACTGGAATGAATACTTTTACTCCCAACCCACAACAGATTCCGCTTCCTAGACTGTAACCCCACTTTACATGATCAACACTGAAAGAATTCTAAACATCTCTTCTTTTATTGTTTTTGGTGCATTAGCCTCAGCTGCGACAGTGCGAATAAACTAGTCAGTGTCACATCCAGGTTTTCCTGTACTAGCAAAGGGGTGTGATGTTTGTGTTGGGAGCACTGCAGGGCTGTGTCTACACTGGCAAGTTTTTCCAGAAAATCAGCCGCTTTTCCGGAAAAACTTGCCAGCTGTCTACACTGGCCGCTTGATTTTCCAGAAAAGCACTGACGATCTACTGTGCGAAATCAGCTGCTTTTCCGGAAAAGCTTTGCCGCTCCCGTTTGGGCAAAAGTTCTTTTTCCAGAAAACTGTTGCGCAAAAGGGCCAGTGTAGACAGCTAGCTAACGCTTTTCCGAAAAAGCAGAAGAAATGGAAAAAAGCGGTTTGGATGCCTGGAGACCCTGTAGGAACCCTGGACTTCCTGGTAACCCAAGCTCTTAAAGCAGACGCAGGCTGCTGAGCGCACGTGGCAGGAGCGTGCCTCAGACCTCTGGCCTGAGGTCTGCCACGGTGACCCTGCCCTGCCCAGCAGCCACCTCGCAGCCAGCATGGCAGCTCCGGGCGCTCAGCCACCTGCACCCCCAGCACAGGAGGCCCCCAGGGGCCGGAAAAGAAGGGCCCCATCGTGGTCCTCGGGGGAGCTGGAGACCCTCCTGGACCTGTGGCAGGAGGGGGGGGGGGCCTCAGCACACGGAGGCCCCCAGGGGCTGCAAAAGGCGGGCTCCCTCCTGGACCCCCAGAGAGCTGGAGACCCTCCTGGACCTCTGGCAGGAGGAGGAGGGTCTCCATGACATCCGGTCCTAGCGCCGGAATGTCGACATCTTTGTCCAGATGGCCGAGGATCTGAGCCAACAGGGACACCCTGCCTGGAACAGTGAGCAGATCCGGGCAAAAGTGAAAGAGCTCCGGCTGGGGTACGTGCGGGCCAGCAAGGGCAAGGGGGCAGGACCAGACACCTGCCCCCACTACGACCGGCTGCACTCCATCCTGGGCCAGCCAGCCCCGCAAGGCCCGAACGTGCCCGCGGACACCTGTGTGCGCCCCCCTGTCATCCG